TTTTTAATTGATTTTTTTTTAGGTTTGTCAGTACTTAGTATTTCAGAGCACACAGACCAAAATACCAAAAAAAGGACAAATGAAAAACTTAGTTTTTTGTTATTAATGTACCTATGTGGTTAAAAACAAAGAGCTAGAGTTAAAATACTTTTCTTTAGCAATTTTTTAATACTTTGTTGCAATTACTTCAAAGTAGTATAAATTAGCTTCGAAATGTAAACATCAAAGACAAATTCTAAGTTGTAATGATCAGGCATGTCAGCAATTTATTTTCCATACTAACAGACACAATTTAAGAAAAAGAAACTCTCTCAAAGTATCATTAGTTGAAATTCGAGACCAACCTGCCGATCAAAACAGAAAACCCAGTGTAAGATAATTGCGCTTGAACATCCAAGACCGTCATCACACTCCACTTTCTTTAACAAAAACATGTTTTCTCCGAAAGACTGCAGAACCACAAAAGTGGGTTTCTGGTCAAAGAGTGAATGAAAGGCTTTCTGTGTGTGTGTGTCAGACAGCTGTCATCACAGAAGAGTCTGAGGGGTCGGCTTACAAAAGGGCATGGTCAACAACAACACAGAAAAACACATCCGAGCCCATTTATTTTACTGCTTGAACTCAGTGCGATAGGATCATAAAGACAGCTCCAGACCCAGTGTCTTGGCCCAGTGTTCACAGAGCAATGCAGACATGAAGTAAGAAGTAGAAGAAATGTTTTCAGCTCTTTCAGTGCGTTCGTGATGCATTCACTGACCTCCACTCTGCGCACAGCAAAATACTAAACGTGTATTCGAGCATCACTATTTTTCAGACTATAAGGCGCATTAAGCAAAACTAAAACATTTTGACAGATTTTTGAGCTCTGTGCACCACATAAAATCAGTTTGAGGTCAGTAAGCAGAACCAGAATTAATACATGAGGCGAACCGGATTATAAGGCTCACCGTTGATGTTTGAGAAAATTAAAGGATTTCGCTGCAGCGGTTCGCAGCTGAGTGCGACACGGCCGGGATGAGGATCAGTTCCTCCAAATCCAAGGCCATGATCTTGAGCCGGACCAGGAGTGCCTTCTTCGGGTCAGGGAGGAGGTCCTGCCCCAAGTGGAGGAGTTTAAGTATCTTAGGTTCTTGTTCACGAATGAGGGAAAAATGGAGCGTGAGATCGATAGGTGGATAGGTGCGGCATCTGCAGTGAAGCGGGTGCTGTACCGGTCTGTTGTGGTGAAGAGAGAGCTGAGTCAAAAGGTGAAGCTCTCAATTTACCGGTCAATCTACGTTCCTACCCTCATCTATGGTCATGAGCTTTGGGTTGTGACCAAAAGAACAAGATCACGGATACAAGCAGCTGAAATGAGTTTTCTCCGCAGGGTGTCTAGACTCTCCCTTAGAGATAGGGTGAGAAACTCGATCATCCAGGAGGGACTCAGAGTAGAGCTGCTGCTTCTCCACGGCGAGAGGAGCCTGTTGAGGTGGCTCGGGCATCTGGTTAGGATGCCTCCTGGACGCCTCCCTGGTGAGAAGTTCCGGACACGTCCCACTGGGAGGAGACCCAGGACACGCTGGAGAGACTATGTTTCTCGGCTGGCCTGGGAATGTCTTGGTATTCTCCAAGGAGGAGCTGGCCTAAGTGGCTGGGGAGAGGGACGTCGGGGCCTCCCTACTTAGGCTGCTACCCCCATGACTGGACCCCGGATAAGCAGAAGAAAATGGATGGATGGATAAAGTATTTTAAGTGTGCCTTATAGTCCAAAAAAATACAGTATAAAACACAAACTCGATGGCAACAACGATGACCACGCTAGTAAAGTGTTAACAGCGGATCAGATTTTTCTGTCTTAATAGATTCAATTCTGAATGTTTGTGCACAATAAATAGGGAAATGTCTTTTTTTTTTTAAATAAAATGAAATTATTACTTTTTATAGCAAAAACCACATCTGCAAAAGACAAATCCATGCATTTGATCCCACTAAACGTCTTCAACTCTACATTTCTTGTCAGCAAATCTGTTGTAACTTTTAACCTTATTTTACCCCCTTAAAATTATATGAACAGATGCCAACATGTTCCCTGAGCTAAACTGCAGGGCTTTTGGGATTGTTTTTTAAGGTTGTTTTATTGTGTGAACGTTCTCAAGACCTACCTCTGTTTTCCACACAGGCCTTTGAGTTTTATAATTCACCAGTGAGTAGAAAGTTGAGGCTGCATCAGTAACACAATAGTTCTACATATTTTCAGGTTTTTTTTTTTTTAAAAGCTCATAAAGCGAAGGTCAAACCTGACAGGAGGCAGTGAAGCAACAAATGAAAGGGGATCAGAATTAGAAGGGGATGCTGTGTGAAGAGATTCTGCAGAACAAATTGGTTTCCCGTTAACACAGACCAAAAGAAACAACTTCATTATTTATGTTTCTCTTACTTTTAAATCATTTTCTCACACTGATCGATCTTCTGGTAATGATTTTTTTTTTTTAAACCAACTGTCTCTCCAGCTCGTCATAATAATACATATTATATAGAATATATGTAACTCTGAGCCATTGGTGCAGCTGATTTACAGAAATCTGTTTTCTCTCTTTTATCATATTTCAGTCTGGCAGTAATTCTTACTTCCATGGGGTTTAAAAGTCATCTGTTTAATATAATCATATTTCTACTAATGGGAATGACCCTTGAATAACTGGAGTTGCTGTTGCTCTTGCAGTAACTTATCGCAATAACAAGTCCTGAGCATGGAGAATAAGAAGGAAGTAGGGTGGGTGGGTGGTGTTTGTTGGGGTTGGTGCTCTGGTAGAAATGGTGTACAAGGGCAGAGGGACTGAACATAAAGAAAAGTGAGCAAGTAAATCAGCTCTGTTGCTTCCCCAGCTCCAGGTTTATGTGCGCGCAGAGTACGGCGTGTGTTTCCAGGGGTTTCCATGCTGTCACAAAAGGCCCCTGTGAGACCAGCTTATTTACCCTGCAGTAAAACCCAAGAGGGAGTATACCCTGCAGTAAAAACGGAGAGGGGGTGCAGCGGAATTAGATTTAGGGCCGCCTTCGGCTCTTCTGTTCTCTGTGTGCCTTTGGGGGAAAACCCACTCCGCTGCTCTTGTTCCGTTGTTTAACTTGAGTTATGTTGTGCGTGTTGAGTCGAGGGTAAAAGTGTGTTTTATAACACGCAAACAAATTTCAGAATAGTTTTTAATTAAAGAGAGAGGTATTACATCAGTTATTGGTTACATAGTGGCTGGTAACAGTGACAAGAGTTTAATTGAGCATAAATAAGCAATTGTGCAATTAAGGGTTATAACATTTCACAATGCTTTTTGCATAAACACTCACTTTGACTGTACAAGATGCATTTTCACATATGAATGCAAAATGTGCTTTTAGCCCATTGTTTCCAAGATGTGCGGCTGAAAATATTAACAGGATCCCACGGAGAGCTTGCACAAAACTGAGGGTTAGCTTTCGTTGGAAACCAGGTAACCAGCACTGAGTGAGGAGATGTTGCATACACATTACAGAGGCTGATGGCTCTGCCCAGCCACCCTCATGGCAAACGTACGGTACAGCATATGTCTTCCCGGCATGCTCCAAACACTTAGGAAAATGTTCTCAGGTGAGAAAAAAAAAAAGACATTCTGATCCTCCTTCACGTGGAAAGAGTTGCTTTGTTACATTCCATATTTTCATCAAGTTCAAGTAATTCGATCAAACTGCAGGCTTGGATGTCTGTACTTTTTGAGTCTGCATGCAATAAGGAGCTGGTGTGTGTGTGTGTGTGTGTGTGTGTGTGTGTGTGTTTGTTAGCAGCTGAATGAACAAAGCTCATAAGCAGTGACATCCAAAATTGAGGTTCAAACCATGAGTCATAAATCATTTTCGATCTGTGACCGTGGAGGTGGAGTTCTGTAAACTTTGAGATATTTTTTTTTGCATTTTTGTCTGTGTTTGTAATAAAATAGCTGTGGAATACAGATAAAGAACACTATTGTTTAGTGACTCATACTGAAAAGCCTCGCAATCAATCATTTTAAATTAGATTGTAATTGGTTTTGTACATTTTACAAAAGAAATCTGGATACTTTGTGGTCATGTGTCCAAATTTTAGTCAAAGTGACTTGAAAAATGTATTCCTCTACTTAAACATTTGTTATGAGGAATCATTTGTTAGTTGTAGCAGAGTAAAGGAGATCGGTTAACATCTTTAACCCTTGGACCGTGATAGCAGTTTGTATAAAATGAACCCAAAAATTAAACGACAGGAAGCGTATGAATGTCTCAGCTTCTCAAAGTTGAAACAGAACTGATAATCATAGGATGCAATGCAATCCTGCTGGGTTGGAATAAACCAAATGTTCACCTCAGACCAAAAACAGACTGAAATCTTTACATTCAAACCACCGTCAGTTGCTGTTAAATCAGTTTCTCGCGTTTTGCTTCCTACTGCTTACAACCAGTGGTTTGTTGTTGAGCGAGTGGGGTGTGTCTTTCCAAGGCACTTGATTCTTTTCGTTGCCCTACATGATAAATTAAAAATAGACAGCTAATGCCCCATATTCCAGGGTACAAATGCACTTTAAAAAAATTGCTCAATCAAATGCTTCTCAGTAATGTGACAAACACTAACTTTGGTTTGATGATCTTAAACCTCCATGACACTTTTGGTCAATAAAAGATCTGAAGATTTTGCATCCCACACTGTAAAAAAAAGGAATCTGAAGATTAAAAGACAAGGAGAAGAATAAACTGAGTTAAATAACTAAACAAAAGGCATTTGACTAAAACCTGAAAGGCAAAACAAACTCAGTGGTCTAAGCTGATGTCATTAAAGCACCAAGAATACATACGCAGACAAATACATAAAAAAATTAAAGTTTTTGTTGTAGCAAAATAGACAAACAGGTTTTATAGCAGATTAAAGGAGCAACTATCAAATGTAGAGGTGTTATTAGTGAATCCCTCCGCTGTGACAGACGTTGCCAGGGCTTTACAGATTCCTGTAGCTGAAACATTCAAACTACTTTGTGGTCTTTGGGACTGTCTGGTTGCCACTGGTTGCCTTGAAGCTGTAAAATTCCCTGTAAAACATCCAGCCAGACCTTGTAGCAGAAGAGATACTGTTCCTGAAATGAAAGGAGCGAAAAACATGTTCAGCTTTTATTTACACTTTCATTTTAACCCCCTTTGTTTGCGCTCACCTTGGTTTGAATCATCCCGTGCCGCTGAAGTCTCATCTCTTTCACAATGTCACTCACGTTAATCTGAAGACAGACAGATAGTTGTTACGAGCAACTAAAGCGTGACTGTGAGCTCGGGATCCATTTATTTTCAATGCACAAAACAAATGAACGAGAACTGTTTTCACACATGTGCTGCAGCCCTGAAATGTCCTAAAGAGGATCAGGAGGGCAGGCTGCAGCTTTTGCTTGTTGACTTGCTCCAGACATTTTCACACAGCCACCCAATAAAATGTCTGGAAGCTGAGAGAATAACGGAATATAACAACAAATCTTGCGGTGCAATTAATGCACGGGGACGACTTAAAGTGTGCAGGTATAAGCTACTTAAAAAACCCAGCATATTTCCAAATGGAACTTTCTTGCATCACATTCTCCATCTTGTATACTGAAGGTAGACCTAACTTTAACTTAATTTAAATTTGCATTTGATGAAGGCAGTGTTTCCCCTACCATTATACAAGTGGGGTGCCCCACCCCGTCAACAGAACTGAGCACCCTGCCAACCAAACCGAACTTGCCCCCCACCCGGCATTGACATAGCACTAAGCTAGCGGCACAAACTACAGGCTCTCTAGCTAAAAAGCTAAAGGCAGCACTCATGCTGCCTCTTCTCTCAAGCTCCACCCCCCCCCCCCCCCACACACACACTCAAAAACTTTCTGTATAAACAGTGCACAACTCAAACATATCGTGCTAAGCTAGCAGCGCGCAATACAGGTACTCTAGCTAAAATGATAAATGCGCCTTTTCCACCCCCCGCTCAAAAACTGTTGGTACAAGCTGCGCTCAGGCATGTCTCCATCCCCCAATCAACAAAAATCATGGCTGAGATGAGCACCCCACCATGGCAAGTTAACTAGGGGAAACACTGGATGAAGGTATGAAAAACTCTTAAAAGCTTTGTGTGAACAATGCTATGCTAAAGAGCTCAAACCATACCGAGTGTCTGCCATTTTGAGAACCGAATAAAGGAAGGAGAGGCAGCCCATGTCGCGTCAAGAGGCCTCCCTCCCATTTTTCCTAGGGACACGCTGCTTGCTCCCACACTATCCATCCTTTGGTTCAAACAGTCTCATACTGCCATCCGGTGGTCAAAAAAGGTACTACACACTAAACAAATCAACATTTCTTCTTAAATTTGACAATAATTAGTAATTATTGTCAAATTTCAAACAATATTTTCATTTATTGCCATAATCTCTGAGACAATTAATCGCCCAGCAAACTTTGTTATCGTGACAGGCCTACTCAGGAGGGCTGACTGTTGGTGCATTTGTAGCTTTATGGTGAGGTTTTGTGACAGTAGTTCTTGAACTTGTCCGTTTCCAACACAGAAACAAAATGGCTAATGACTATTGCTAGCTGAATGCAAACAGCGTTAAGCCAATATAGCAAGGATGAATTGATCTGATTATTTTGTTTCATTCTTGCGTTTCACATTCTGCTTTGAGAAGTTCAAAGATTCCAGAAAGTGGCACAACAAAGGGACGCGTTGCAAAATGTTAGAACAATAAAAATCACTAGAAAAGCCATCTTTGATCACGCAAACAATGAAGTGCTCAGATGTTTTCAGGTTTGTTTGCCATCTTCACACTTATTTTACCATTACAGAATGAATTTGCATGAAGATTTATTCTGTGTGGACTATGACTGATGATGTTGGGGCATTTTAGTCCAGACCAAAGCAGTATATAACATTACAATTATAGTATAGGACAAAATGATTAAATGAAAATAACATATGGGCTTCCACTTACAGGCAAGTCTTCTTCAATGAGTTTAAGGATAATGTCGTTACAGATGAGGACCCCTGTCCGTCCGATGCCAGCGCTGCAGTGAACAGTGATTGGCCCCTTGTGGTGCACGACCCTCATGTAGCGGATGAATCGAACCAGCTGCTCTGAGCTGTGTGGCACACCGTGGTCAGGCCAGTGTGTGAATTTCAGGTGATGAACAAAGTGGGTCTCACCAGTCTGGAATGATAGTCAGGTATTTTTTATTTTTTTTTAACACCAAATTAAGTTCATGTTTTAACAACAACAATAAAAAAAGTGTTTTCTTTAAATTTTTTATTTTTTTTTTACCTCCGTTTCCACCATGCGGATGACCTTTATGTGAAAGTATTCCAGGAACTGCTGGTTCTCCAGGTGAAGCTCGTACCTGTCAGTGTTCAAAGGTGCACCAAGCTTTTCTGGCCAATACTTATGACATTTGATTCTTCCTCGTTCCATTTCTTGGGTCATCATGGAAATGACGTCAGATTTATTTTCCCAGATCATTTGCCAGAAAGCCTGAACTGTAGTTGGCAGGGGCCCCTGGCAGGAGATGTAGAAGAGCTCCTCTGCTCCGACTTGCATGCGGATGTAACTTGCATTGATGTACTCTTGGTTCTCTCCAATGGCTACACGTGTTCCGTCATCTGCAGGAGGAATGAAAGCACACAAAGAAAACTCAAAATAGTGTGTTTGGAATGGGAAAACAAATTACCGTATTTTCCGGACTACAAGTCACTCTTTTTTTTATAGATAGGCCAGTCCTGCGACTTAAAGTCCGAAGCGACTTATTTACGTTTTTTTCCTTATTCATGATGCAATTTTTGACTGACATGTTAAATGTTCATTAATTTTTTTCTCCTTTTTTTTTTCCCTTAAAAAACATAAAAAAAATAAAAAAAAATAAATGTTCACTCATGGGCAGCACGGTGGCGCAACTGGTAGAGCTGCTGCCTCTCAGCGAGCAGGTTCTTGGTTCAAACCCCGGTCCAGGGGCCTTTCTGGGTGGAGTTTGCATGTTCTCTCCGTGCATGCGTGGGTTTTCTCCGGGTACTCCGGTTTCCTCCCACAGTCCAAAAACATGCATGTTAGGCTGATTGGTAACTCCAAATTGTCCTTAGGTGTGAGTGAGAGAGTGAATGGTTGTTTGTCTCGTTTGTCTCTGTGTGGCCCTGTGATGGACTGGAGACCCGTCCAGGGTGTACCCCGACCCTCGCACAGTGATTGCTGGACATGGGCACCAGCGACCCCCGTGACCCAAAATGGAATAAGCGGGTAAAGAAAATGGATGGATGGATGGATGTTCACTCATACTGACATGAACCAAAGAGTAAACATTACCATTTGCAGCCACAAGAGGGCCCTCTAGGCTTTTGACAACTATATGTTGTTCCTCTTCTGCTAACCATTCACTTAGAGTCAACTGAGAAAAACTTCACACAAGTAAAATGCCCCCGCCCCCCCACCAAAAAAGAAAATCCTATTCTGCAGATTACAAACTATGCAGCCCAAAACGGTAATCGAGCAGCAGAAATAAAGTTTAATAATAATAAGTGGAACTGATGCAGAGTTTGACGACAGCCACGCAGAAGAGGAGGCTGCGCTTCATCTTCCTCTGGAGTTGGCGAAGTTGTTCAGAAGCAACACAGAGGAAAAAAATTCAATGGATTCAGTGATGTGGAATGAGATTGGTGAATTTACCGGTAACTTGCTTGTCGGACTCGTTGGCTTGTTATGTTAATTAAGCCTGTTCAGGATCCCAGGATGCACAATAGCATGTGATATAGCTGCTACCAAAACAAAAAAGTGAAACTGACTACATTAAAGCCATTTTTGTTTTGTTAAGATTGATCAGCTGTGACTGCCATCTTGAATCAAGTTGACTCCAAAAGTCAATCCGTTATCTACTGATTACATTGTTAAACTTTCAATAAAATCCATTAAGTGGATTATGAGATATTTTGATAATAGAAGGCACAGGATTGACATGAACAGTTAATGTCAAAGTTTTAAACAACCATCTTGCATGATCTGTTAGAGCTCAGAGTTTGTGTTGGGTATGGGTTTTAGCTACGACTGCACCAAACTTTAGCTCAGTGTTTGTGAAACCGACTGAGATTAAGTCATTTTTGTGTTTGTGAAGATCGTTTAGCTGTGGCGACCAGCTTGAATAAAGCTGAGTCCAAAAATTAATCAGTTGTAGGTGTTTGTTCAATGATTACTTTCTGAAAGTTTCTTTAAAAGCCATCCTGTGCTTTATGAGATAGTTGCCAATATGACAGACAAGCACACACGTACACACTCAAATCACCAGCCTGTTTCCCCTTTAGGCTGCAGGCCATTGTAAAGTTACATCTGCCAACAACCCATCCATCCATCCATCCATCCATTCATCCATCCATCCATTTTCTTCTGCTTATCTGGGGTTGGGTCGCGGGGGTAGCAGCCTAAGTAGGGAGGCCCAGACTTCCCTCTCCCCAGCCACTTGGGCCAGCTCTTCCGGGGGAATCTGGAGGCGTTCCCAGGCCAGCCGAGAAACATAGTCCCTCCAGTGTGTCCTGGGTCTTCCTCTGGGCCTCCTTCCGGTGGCATGTGTCCGTAACACCTCACCAGGGAGGCATCCAGGAGGCATCCTAAACAGATGCCCAAGCCACTTCAACTGGCTCCTCTCAACGTGGAGAAGCAGCGGCTCTACTCTGAGTCCCTCCCGGATGATCGAGCTTCTCACCCAATCTCTAAGGGAGAGCCCAGACACCCTGCGGAGAAAACTCATTTCGGCCGCTTGTATCCGAGATCTCATTCTTTCGGTCACAACCCAAAGCTCGTGACCATAGATGAGGGTAGGAACGTAGATCGATCTGTAAATTGAGGGCTTCGCCTTTTGACTCAGCTCTCTCTTCACCACGACAGACCTGAACAGCGCCTGCTTCACTGCAGACGCTGCACCTATCCGCCTATCGATCTCACGCTCCATTTTCCCTCACTCGTGAACAAGACCCCAAGATCCTTGAACTCCTCCACTTGGGGCAGGACCTCCTCCCTGACCCGGAGAGGGCACTCTACCCTTTTACGGCTCAAGACCATGGCCTCGGATTTGGAGGAACTGATCTTCATCCTGGCCGCGTCGCATTCAGCTGCGAACCACTCCAGCGAAAGCTGTAGATCACGATCAACAGTGAGGTGACATTCCACGTCCCAATAGCCAGCTTCTGTAGCCGAGGATCAGACCGCCAGGGTCCCCGCCCTCGGCCACCACCCATCCCACATTGCACCCGACCCCTTTGGCCCCTCCCACAGGTGGTGAGCCCATGGGAAGGGGGACCCACGTCTCCTCTTCGGGCTGTGCCCGGCCGAGCTCCATGGGTAAGAGCCCGGCCACCAGGCGCTCGCCCGGGTGCCTCACCTCCAGGTCTGGGTCCAGAGTGGGGCCCCGGTGACCCACGTCCGGGCAAGGGAACATTAAGTCCATTTATTTTTCTCATCATCGGGGTCTTTGGGCTGCACTTTGTCTGGTCCCTCACCTAGGACCTGTCTGTCATGGGTGACCCTACTAGGGGCGTAAAGCCCCTGACAGCATAGCTCCTAGGATAATTGGGACACTCAAACCCCTTCACCACGGTAAGGTGGCAGCCCAGGGAGGGGCATCTGCCAGCAACCCTAAAAGATTAATAGATGGTTTGCAAGGAGAAAAAAACAATCGGAAAAATAGTCAAGAATATTTACTGAGATTAAAAAAACAAACAAACTATAAATCTGTTCATCTTAAAAGAAAAAATCTCCAATCAGAACAATAAACTATTTTTTCCTAAATACCTAAACCATGTAACATTTGCAAGAAGCTGCAAGGCATATGGTGAGTTCTGTAATAATGCCACTGGGGGTCAGTTCTTTTTTTATCACACTCGTTCATCTCAACTCCGACCCCCACTGCGAGGGTTTGACAAAAAAAATAGACTTCTGTATATGTCACATGAGTTTTGTGTGTTTGGCAGCTGGGTTTAGACTAAGAGCATTCCTGGGGTCATTTGCTGACAGAATAACACGCACAAACACAAAAAAGGTAATTTCATCTCTTCCCTTTGCATCGTCTCCCTGTAATTTCTAACGATTATGCAGCTTGTTGAATCATTTCCTCTTTCGTTTATTAAAGATATAAATCCTGGATAATTGCAAGAATCATCATGGTCACATACTTGGCAGGCTGAGGGAAAATTATACTGCAAGTGTGGTACAAGTGAATTATTGACTCTTGTGTGGCGTATAAAATGTGCACAATTTACTTAGGCGCAATAAATAAACATATTCACTTTCTTCAGTAAAAAAAAATAAAAATCCAGTAAGCTTAAACTAATTAAATGAAACGCGTCAACATGCTGTCCATAAATTCCATGTCTATGGGGATCCAGTCTTTACAATCTTTAACCTCCCCTCAACATAATAAAAATTTAAAAAAGTACTTTCACTTTAAAATCTTCCCATGATGAGAAAAAGTCTTACAGGGTAGGATGTCCCTGTAGCGGTTCTTATCTCTGTTCTCGGGTGCTTTTCCCACCAAACAGTTGTCAGAAGGCTTCAGATGCTCCAGAGCCTGAAACAAACAACGAAAGCACGGTAAAATAAGAAGGTCAGGTTTTGGGAATATGTGGGAATACGCTAAATACCATATTACCAAGTACCATACTTTTCGCCATATAAGTCGTACCTTTTTGCATAAATTTGCAAGTCCTGCAACTAATATACACCCCCCCCCCC